CCTTGCCTTCAGGACTATTCCTTCTCCTCTTGTCTTTTCTCTGTCAAGTACATCTTTACCCAAAAGTTTGTCCCAACAGGGAACACAAAAGTCACCCTCAACTTCTCCCTCTCATCAGCCCCACATTTGGTTTCACCAATGCTCCTTCCTAGGACTCTCTTCCGGCTTTACCGTCCCTCTCCCAGTCTATGCAACAGTTTCATCACAGATGACAGATGTGACAGCCTTGAAACACTGTCCAACTGAGATTCCTTTATCTTAGAGCTGATCCCTCTCCCTCCTTGTACCTTGGCTGCTATTACAACCCAAAGTGGAAGGTTAATGGCCCCTCAAGGAGGACAGGATGACCTAGGGAAGTCCCAGTGAGTTGGGAACACAAGGAGAAGCGTATGGAGAAGAAATGGCCAGGTAGATACAGAAAGCAAAAGGAGACAGAGACCGTACGGTGTAAAAATCCCAGGAAAGGGTTAGGAGATAGAAGGGTTGATGACAAAGCCCAAAGCCTAGGAGTTTCTATATCACTTTCCCTTTGGGGATCTAGAGATGTCATCTCACAGACTGTCCTCTTTCCCCACCCCCATCCTCATGACAACATGGGGTGGTGACCTTCTGGGTGGTGACCATACGATGTAGATCAGTAAAGCTGGCATCACAGCAGTTAGGAAAGGACAGAGCCTAAGTTTTGAGTTTAGCTACCCAGAGCCTCCCTAGCTTCTAAATGGTGTGGCCATTCCCAGTGTACTATGGAGGACTGGGGAGGAAGGGCACTATCAGACACATGGGGGCGCTAAGCAGCCCCAGCAAGAGCCAAGGTGGGACCACGTAAGCAAAGTGGACAACGGGGCCCTGACAGACCACAAGTTACAGCTGCCCCACACTCAGCAACAGGTGCCAGCAGATGCCCGAGGCAGAGCCAGAACCACGCCGGACCCCCGATGGCACCAGCGGGAACCCCCAAATCTGATACACACACAATCTCAAGAACATATGAGCCCCTCCTACTGAGGCACCAGCTTAGTGAGGTGCAGAGGAAAAACCAATTACCAGAAGAGATCATTTACATTATTGAAGCAGACTGAGTTTACTACCCTCAGCTAAATGCAGTTTTTTTCCTTTCTAATTATGAAGTGGGGAGGGGATCTTAAGGAGAAAGTCAGGTCAAATTTAGAAAAATACTTTCTTTGCACATCTAAGTGTATTGAGGATAAATCTGCGACCCTACCTCTAGTCTTACCCAACTCCCTCCATCCCAAACTAGGTGGCCAGAGTTCCCTTTCTAAAAGATAAACCTGAGCTCCCTGTCTGCTGCAAACCCTTGCTGGTGTTTTCAAACTCTAAGAGCACCTTTCATGCAGGCTGACAGTGCCCTTCACAAACGGGCCCCCTTCGCCAGTGTTTCCCTTGTTTCTGCCTGTTTCTTCCAGCGCACGCTGCACTGCAGCCCATCAACCTGTCCCTCGCCCAAGAGGACGGGCTCTTTCCTCAGCCTCATGCTACTGACAGCACTAGCCATCAGGCCTGGGTGTGAGTCCTGGTTCCTCCAAGTGGGAACTCAAGCTATGAG